AAGATTCTAAAGAATGAAATAAGGAATTTTGAATTATATGAAGTTATTTAGATGCATTTACAGTACGAAGCGTAATGATGTTTCATTTCCCATCCGGATAACTCATGACAGCACAAAAGACTAGTATCTGTTTAATATTTTTCCTTTTATTCAGAAGCTTTGGCTTTCTTAAGTTCGGATTTAATGGTATATTCGAGTGTTTCGAATATTAATACATCCGCACTGAAAATGCTCTCGATGTTGAATGCAACCATCACTATTCAGTATCTCATGATGACTGAAAGAATTTCCTGTTCATTCCTCAAAAAGCTAACTTTGGGTTAAAAATGACGTCAAAGCTACTGTTCACTAGTTAAAATATTTGAATAAGTAAATTGAGTGATAGACACAGCATGTACACGTAATGAACATCGAAATGATAAAGCTGTACACAATAGAATAATGCTTCATCCAGGGGTGTGGGTGTTGGTGAAGTTGTTCAAGAACAGATACTAACGCATACCCACACCCACACCCACCCACACCCACACCCAAAAGTTAGTATCGTATCGAATAAAACCAGTCAATCGATACACGTTATTGGGATTTAGACAAACTCTACCCAAAAGTAAGCACTATCTGTAAACTATTAAATGCCATTGAAGTAAAGTGTCGGAATCAAAAACATTATTCATGTTGCTGCTAAAATAATTCCATTTCAATGCAGCTTTTTCTTATGTTATTGATTGTGTTGCCTGTGAAGAAAACAGAAAGATTTTTTTCCAGATTGGCTCTAATTTTTTTGAGTATTATAGAATTACAACCATAACTATAAAAAAATTTGGGTGTGGATGTGTGGCTGTGGGATGTGGGATGTTGATCGGAGCTTACCTTAGGTTATGACCCACACCAACACCCATATCCCGCACCCCACAGCCACACCACACATCCTATAATTATCTGAGTTCTTGGTTATTGAAAGTTGTTGAAACGCAATGTGCTAAAATTCTCAACGATTATTAGCTGAATTTCTTGCGTTGATGATCAACAGTTAATTCAGTCTAGTGATTTTTTTTGTTCCAAGCCATACAGAAACCGTTTCAAGAATATCTTTGGAACACGTTGAATTAATAGTGTTGTAATTAAACCATTCAATGATGTCGTTGGAGATATTTGAATATCTAATGTCGAATTTGATTGTTATCAAATGATTGCAACGGTGGAGGATCATTACCATTTGATCTATAGTAGAAATGGGTATTTGCAAATGTTTTACGTGATGGGGAATGACGCCGTGTATATGTTCTATTGTCGCATTTAATGTGTATTTGTATGCAAGAGCTTGAATAGTTAGTGAGGAAAGATTGTGAGCTTGTTCAAGAAAATCCTGAATATTTAGTAATACATTTTGATTGCATTCGCTGAAATGAGAGCTGCACAATGTTATTTGAACTATTTGAGAAATATTGATGAATATGGAGAGAGATTCGAGCGGAATTAATGGCCAGTCTTTGTAAATGTGCATAGTGACATTAGTCACTTTTGGAAACAGAATTTGATTAGTCGCTGGTTTCTGAAAATATTCAAATGCAGACACTGTTTTAGTCTGAATAGCACGAGTTAGTTTTAACTAATTTGTTATGAAAATTTTGCGTTTATTCTCAATCTATCTGTTTTGAAAGTTGTTTTTAATAATTTGAAGTTCAGTATAGTAGACAAACCTCACTAAAGATCACTACATAGTCAGAATTTATGTAACTGTCACTCAGAACCTTGTAACAGCAAGTTTACATGAAAGTATCGTTTCCAGATCTTAATTCCACAAAAACTGTTATAATGCTGCATGAAGTTTATATATCCGATCGAAAAAGAAATGCTTTTAGCGTGACATTGTCTGATTTAATGTGACAGATACAATCGGTTCCATGTTTAAATTTATATTTCAGTTCAGTACCTCGCATAGTTATATCGTAAAGCAAAATATGCGAAGAATGTTTGTGACTAGTAATTAGCATTGGAATGTTGTAAAATCACAATCACAAAAGTTTTGTCCAGTGGCGGAGCCAGAATTTTGGCCTAGGAGATGAGGGCTCAAAGATTGGTACGGAGCTGAGCCTCTTCCTCATGACTCCACGACTATTCTTTGCAATCGACAGGGTCATGTCGATCATGATTTGTGCGAAGTTCGTGGTCGTAAATCATGAAAATCATTTCTTTCTCGAATGTACTACAGTCTAAAGAAAGATAAGACAGGCTTTTACGTAATAAATAACAAAACTTAATTTAATAAATCATCGATAACTCGACTCGAACTTCAACAAAAAATTAGGATAAATATCTATAAATAGTTATGTCGATTGATGAAAAAGGAATAAACTATTGGAATATGTTGAAAACACGATATGGTTTCTATTGCGTGAGATCTTATGTAAGTAACATAAACATGGAATTTTTGACTAACTATCAAGTAAGTCTTGTTTTTCTGCGTGAAGGACTAAATTTTTTATGATATTAAAACCCTATGCAATATACAAATCTTTTCTGTCGAAATTTATGATCTGAATGTATTCTATTTCTAGATAGGTTCAGAATGGTTCCATGATAGATGCTCCTGCGACCGTTGCTCCCCAGTGACATTTGCTCCCGAGGCCCAAATCAAGCCTCAATCAAAACCGAAACTCACTCTCTAGGTCGCCTTCACTCGCACCTACATCCTCCTCCTCACCTACACCCTCCTCCTCACTCAGACTCGCGCCCACACCCTCAAATATTCGAAGAGCAAGTGTCATTCGGGAGAAAATGTCGCTAGGGAACAACAAGTGTCCGAGGAGCAACAGTCGTGCTACCGTTCAGAATTTGTGAAGTTCTTTGAAAACTAGTCGGATTCGTTGATATCCAATGGAATTTCTGACTTTTTTCTGTATTATTAGCGAACCCTAATTTTGTTCAAAGGACTTTATGAAGTCTGATCTTATCTCTGAATAGCAAAAACTCAGATAATAAAGTTTGATAGAAAAAATTTGTACGTTGTATATACTTTTGTGAAACACGATCTAAAAGGAGTGTTGAAGTATATAAGATAGAAATTTGCACCCCTTCCCCAGCCCCCACATACAGACCATAACAGACAGGCTCCGGACTAGTTTGGGAAGATCTCCGTGACCGTGGCCGCGACCATGATCAAATGGTTCGTGATAGTTACATGATTGTGGGTGACGAGACGCGAGTTAAAGAAGAGTAAAAAGGAAAATAATAAATCTTCTTATCTTAATTGAAAAATGAGAATCGAAGTTTTTTTTATTATATTCATGTTTCATATTTAACCTTAATTAAAAAATTTTAAAAATGATTGAGAAACAATAATATCCATTATTATAAATAACTCATAGGTAGAGATGATCGATTCACATTTATAAAAATTTAATAAATCTGAAAATAAATTTTAAGAAACTTCAATTTATTTTAAACTAAAGTTTTTCAAATATGAAAATTTGAATGGATTTAAATTGCATATATATGAATTTAAATCCATCTAAATGAATTTAAATTGAATTTCATTTAGCTTAAATTGCATTTAGATTGAATTAAATTGGATTTAAATAGATTTTAAAAAATTTAAATGACTTAAACTTTAAAAAAATTAACAAGAAATTGCAACCTCTACTCATGGGTATGACCGTGACCGTGACTAAAAAATCATGGTCACGCTGATCTCTACTCTAGACCCATCACCGACGCTACAGACGGCTTCAGACGCATCACATACCGTCACAGACCGACTTCAGATCCGTCACACATCGCGACACATCTTTTGATGCACCAGTAGCGATTATATGTCACCTGCTTCCTTATTAGCGTTCTAGGCGATTGAGTAAAAAATATTGAATAAATGGCTATGAAATTATATAGAAGAAAACAATATTCGCGTGCTTAGTAACAGCAGCTACATCGTGTTTCCCATTTCAATCCTACACGGATTGTCGTAACAGCTTTTTAATATGGAAAATAGGTAATCATTGACACAACAATTTATTGTCTGTTTAATATCTATTTGAGACGCCTTTAGTGTTTTTTACTGCCTCTGATCCACTTGACGCCATGATCACATGAGTCCTTTGTTTTAGCTTGACTCCTTCCTTCTGATCGATACTATTAAAAAGAGAACTGAATGAGAAGGAAAAAAGATAAAACTACTATTCATTGGTTAAGCCGATATGATTTATAAAAGACGAAGAAAAAATCCAAAGTTAATTCTCATTGTATGCTACTATATGTTATGAAATGTATGAATTTAGTCAAATAACATACCTTTTCATGTATATAATCGGCTAATATTTTATTTAAAGTTAGATTGAGAACATTGACATCACTTTTTATGAATTGATTATCGTCCATCGTCGTCATATGGTTGAAGAGTGAATTTTTATCCATTTCTACTTCGTATTTTAAAAACGATTTGCATATTGGTATTGAATAAAGATAAACGGTGTATGATCGTTTGATATCACATGCACAATTAACAAACCATTTTTTGTGTTCAATCCAAAAAGGAGTTCGAAAAGAAGCAATAATTAACTCAAGATATGCTGAGGTTTTCTCATCTGAACTCCAATAATCAAAATAAAATTCAAATTTATCTAAATTAGGTAGATTTATTTCAATGAATTGTTCCCATCGTTTCCCATCGAACATGGGTCGGTTAGCAACAAGTTTTAAATGAACCAGTGATGGCGTCAATAAAAGAAATGATTCCAAATCATCAACGGTTTCACGAAAATTCTCCATGGTTAATGATGTTAATTGTCGAAAATATATTGGAGAAGCAAATTTTAATGATACATGATTGATAATCTCATCCAATGTCTCTTTCAAAATAATTGTGTGCAAATGAGGCGAGCATTGAAGTATAATTAGAAGATTATCCATAGTTATGTTTTGGTTCACAATCAAATATTGAATTGAACAATCCAATGACCATGAAATCTGTGATAATCTTGCATTTGATAAATTCAATTCAATTCTTCGAATATTCGATTTCGAGACCATTGATGTAAGAAAATTGTTCGTAGTATTGATATGTCTATCATCGTATTTTTTAATACTGAATGAAAATGAAGTAAGGAAATTAAGATTAATTCGTTCCAAAATAAAGTTTAATTGAGATTCATTAGTGTGAAGAAGAGTTATTGAACGGAGTCGAGTAAATTGACGAAGGTGAACGAGTGAAATAAAAAAATCTATTTGACTTGATGTTTGTTCCTCATTTGAAAGTATCAATGATACAACATTATTTGGATTAATTAATCGACAAAGAAGAATAAGATTTCGCTTTGAAATTAAAGTCAAATTCAAAACATATCGATCATAATTATTACCTAACGATCGAAATAATCGACAAACGTGTCGAACTGAAAAAACGATTGTTTTTGTATCAAGATTATCCAAAATACAATGAAGTAATTCCACTGGTAATTTCTGCATTAGCACTTTTATGTTGTTTTATATTGAGAAAATAATGATGTTCTATATTGGTAACTTTTAAAACATATTACCAGTAAAGACATGAATAATCATTTGTATGTGTGAAAAAGCCACCTATTGTGACTCATGAATCAAAATAAAAATAGAAGGGAAGAAAAATTTCTTAGTTTTTCTGTCACGAGAGCAGAAGCAAAGAAAGAAAAACAAACCTGAATAACCATTACGAATCAGCTCAGATTATGCCCTCTCGATAGCAATGTTATTTTATAGAACCTTTTTAAACGTAGCCGCCAAAGAAGATTTGCGAAGTATGAAATAACAATCACTTGAGCCGATGCATCCGTTTTAAAACTCATTCATTAAGTAGTAGGCAATTATTCGCACTAATGTATCATTCATTAAAATATCATTGACGAGCTCAACAAATTTGAGTTTCTAAATTCTTGCAATAATGTCTTATCTATAAGATAGAGTATAAGTAGATAAATATTGTGCTTCCATTTGTTTTCATCGTCATTTGTAACTAAAAATTGTTAACGAACTCGATTTTTTCATATTTTTGAACGCAGCTTTTAAGACATTGCAGTGGAACTTTCTTTCAAAGATTATCATCTAATCTTTTAAATACAGAAACAATAGATTGTCTATAGCCAACCAGACTCAGAATGGGATTGATACTATAATATTATACTATTCCAAAATATCATTTTCAATATTCGATTGTTATCAATTCACTGATAAAGCAAACTAAAATTCTCATCATTATTCTTTAAAACTCTTTGGAAGTTTTTTAAATCTTATGTTACTAGCTAAGACACAGGAGAAGAAAAGTGAATATTAAATTGTTTTCTTTTTATTTTGATAAGAGAAGTAAGTAACATTAACTGATAAGGGCGTGGGTGTGGGCGTGGATGTGCGTGTAGGTATGTGGCTGTGGCGTCGGTGTGGTGTGTGTGTGTGTACGCAGGTGGGGTCTAGCTAACACAAATATTCACACCCACACCTACATTTCCTTCGTTACAGCCTTACCTAAACATGATAGATTAGAGTAGGATTTCAATGGATCTTGTAGATAACCAAACAGCCAGAAATCACATGAGGCAAGATCAGGGGAATAAGGAAAATGATGAATGAGTTTGATCTTCTGGTTGTTTAGGTAGTGAATCACGCTGTCTTTGGCGTGAGGGCGCGCATTGTCATGGTGCAGCTTCACGACACGTGCCGTTGAGGTTAGTCTTTTCTTGTGTAGCTTCTTGATCAACTGTGTTAGGCATTTATTTCGATAACACAGGGCGTCCATAGTAGTCCCTGTAGGCACTTGATGAATTAACAACGGTTCGATGGTGATAAAGAACACAACAAAACATTGATTTTTTCTCGAACTGCTGACGCCTGACCACAGTTGGACAAAATTGACGCCGTTTGTATCCGGTGCATAATATCGACGTATGGATGTCAATGACAAAAATTGGGTTGCCGACAATGTTGAATCGATCGAAATCGAAGAATCAAATGCATGAACAACAGTTACACGAAAGCAACGTCCTTCACGGTCACGTTCACCGTCTGTTTCATCATTGCATACAGCAGCATGCAAACGAAGACGAATTCTTACCGAGACCAAATCGCTATCATGGACTCTTTTCAGCCTTTCAAGATACCCTTAGTACGCTAGAGTAAAAATTGGCACAAACATTTCGAGCCTATATTCAGAAAGAGCACAAAATGCTGAGTCTTATGAACTGCGTTTCACCATCACGAGTTGCTTTTAAGTGACCGAAAAAATGAGCGAATATTTTGTACCAAGACTTTCTTGACAGGATGTATACGGACGAATCGACTATTTTCCTGGACTCTCCGTATTTTTGCACAGACTTCGCAAACAGAGACAATTTGTTGCCGTTCTGTTTCGTATAAGCTCTCCGTTTACGCTCGTACGTATTTAATATAGGTATGAAAGAGAAAAGGAATATATTCTTGCATCCATTCATACTGTTGTTCTGTGTTGTTGACGCATTCTCTTTTACTATCCTTCTCTTTCTGACCACAACAGTGTCAATAAGAGTAGCAAGAGTGAGTAGATTAGTTGGTTTGATGACGATGACAAAATACGAAAACATAATGTAAGTATCTTATCTATTGGCTTTATCCTGTTTCACTCTCTTTTCTTGTCCTCCTAGTGCATACAGTTGTATGCTTTTCTTGGTATTTATGAGGTTCTCCTTGCTCTCTTCTCCCTGATAGCGACATGTTATTTTGGTGATATTTCGCTGAAGCTGGTATTAATGAAGGTAACGAAGTTCCAAAATCACCAAAAGCAAAATGTTAATATGTGAAAAGTCGGAAAGCAAAACATCAACAGCGGAAAAATGACAAAATCTTCCTTGCTTTCGAATTGTTGAAGATGTAGATGAGATTTCGATATCTACATTTTCCGTGTTGACGATTTGTCTTTTACCATGCGATACTTCGTCGTGGTGTTTGGAATGGGAGTGTTTTTATTACTTTTTGTTATTTGTCTTAATGTTTGGAGTGAGCTGTATTACACAAGTATCTTCGTAGAGAATGAAATAGTCGTGCATAAAGAAAGACACCGACTAATGAGAGCAATATTCAACGTCAACAAAAGCACGGTTGAAAGTAAAGTCAACAGATAAGGCAACGAAGTCACATTTATTACGCAGATGAAACGTAATTACTGCAGTAGATAAGGAATTTCGTTTCTAAAATAAAAACACTAACTAAAATTTGTTTTAAATGCTACTGTGGGAGGAGAGATAAATAATTTATAAGATTAACATATCTTACACACTTGTTATCGGTGAGAAGATACGGAAAACTTATTTTTTAAATCGGTTTGAGACAGCCACTTTTCTTGGGACGAGAAGCATATTTTTCTAAACTCTACATGAGTCACACATTTCTGGAAGTGGAGGGGGGAGATATGCTTTTCTAAAATTGGCATGAGCTTCCTGCAGAAAAGTGTCTAACTCATGTCATTTTTAGGAGACTCGCTTCCAATTTCCTAGAAAAGTATGCAAATATGTTAAATCTAGGAGACGTTCTACCCCTTCCCCTTTGGAATACTGGAAAAAATTAGTTGACAAGTCAAGATTTTAGTTTAGAAGCGAAATCCTTTACAGATCCAATTACTAGTGTGTGTGTCTGAGGGCGGAAATATTCAAAGCAAATAGTAACGATAGTCGGATTTGCAACTACATTCAATAGGGAAAATATAATGGATTTTGCAAAGTCGTCGGTAAGAAGAGAATCATTTTAGTTAGCTTGTGCGTCGCAAAGAACGTGATGATGAGGACAGTTATGTGAGATGATATAGAAAATGGATGGATATGTCAGATGCTATGTCGTTCTTCTCTCTCTTTCTGCATGAATGTCTTTCACAGGTCAAACTAGATGATGAAGCTATTCGTATTCGCGATATTGATTCTGCAAGCTACCGCAAAGGCTCCACCATTCTTCCCACTCTGCTTCAATAACAGCATCTGGTATGCGGGGCCCATGCTAACGGTTCACTCGACAAGTGAGCAACGCAATCTGGCGATCAACGAGACAATCTCGCGTCTGACGCCTTACTGGAACGAGACTGTGGCACGAGGGCAGCTAAAAAATTTGAGTTCACTGTATCCGATTCTCGATGAAGACGAGGGTGACTTTCTCGCAATCAGCGGCTTTCTCACATCAACAATTCCACTCAATGAGCACTTACGGATCCGGCCACCACCCATACCAAGCACTTATATTGCGTCGATCATTGCCATCGCTTCCGGTCTGCGTCGGCTGCGACTAGCTGAGTACGAGAGTGTGCTAGTGTATCGCGGCGTGGCACTGCCCGTGGCGGTGCTCAACGAATGGTATGACCATGCGAACACGTCGAAGGACTCCTATCTACCATTCGAACAGTTTCTTTCCACTTCGCGTTCGCTCGCTATCGCCCGCACCTTTGCCTTACTCTGCATCATTCAAAAATAACATTCTACCGTTATTCTTCTTTTTTTGACAAAGCAACAATCGTAATAGTTGAACAACTGCGCGACACGTCAACTCAGTGGTGGAACGGCAAAGATGTGCGCATGATTCTCATCGCTCGCGTGTGCTCGTCGGCCGCTGTCTCCTTTCTCAGCTATTATCCATTTTCACGCGATCAGCAAGAGTATCTCTTACCACCAGGCATCACCTTTGCCGTGTTGCGCCCGCCACGTGTCCGACGCGAATGCTTTCGTATTAATGGCACGTTTTCTCAGGAATATCATGAGATGTTCATGCTCGAAGTCACTACGGAAAACACGACGTGTTCTAGTGTTGAGAGTGATCGAGACAAGGTGTTGACTGAACTCGACGAAGATTATGCCAAACAGCTTGACGATGCAGTATTGTACACTATGTGTTCATCAGGGCCGAAAATGGTAGTAGAAGTGTACTCTTTAGTTCTTCTGTTCAGTGCGATTGTTATTAATGTACTTGTTTTGTGATGAGAGAGTTCAAATTATTTATTGCACCTAATTAAGAAAATAGTCCAGTAAATGTTCCGAAACTCACACGGTTTTAGCTCACGAGCATTCATTCGGGTTCACCTTCTTACACTGAACGATGCGCACCGTTCGAATTGCGAGAACCAGACAAGCCCACCCACGAAAAAAACAAATTAATAAAATTTTGCGTTTGAACGCCAACTTTTAGAAAAGAAAACATGCTATTTTTGCATTTAAACGCATCCTGTTCTATTTTCAATGCGTTGAAACATGTTCTTATCAATTCACAACGCGTTGAAACGCATCGTTTTTATTTGCAACGCGTTTTTTCAACTTAAAATGTCAACTGAAAACAAAGCTTGAACGCGTGATAAGAAAACGCATTTTTCTCCCCAACGAACGCTGTCAAAAACATCATTGGAACGCATTTAATATTATGCATTCGAACGAGTTTTTTTGACATGCATTTAAATACATTTTGTAAGGAAAAACGAAATCTTCTTAAACAAACGCGATATAACGCGTTGAAACGCTATCTTTTTAATGCGTTTTTCTTAGAGGAAACGGATATTTCAGAGATTCGTTGAAACGAAAGTTTAAATTTATGTGGTTTCAGTAAGAACTCTGTTTTATAGAATAAGAATCTATTTCAGTTATAACATATTTTAAATGACATCAAATGCAAACGTGTGTGAGTCAGATTTTACTATTTATGGCATCAACTCATATATATATATAATAAAAGAGAATATATTCGAATCGCGTTCGGTGAGCAGATATATAAAAATAATAATAACTGTAAGTTAACAAAAGCATTTTCTTTAACTTGACTCAGTCAATGTTGGATAACGAATAAAAATAAATTGTTTTTCAAATTGATAGTAAGATACTTTTTCAATAACATTGTTTGCATTAATATGGATATGATGATCAAAATCGATTGTTCCATATTCAACATTATCGCACAATATTTTTTGTGTTTAAATTTAACAATACCTGCTCTTTTTTATTGTTACACAAAGGAAGAACTTGAAATAAAAAATTATTTGATGTTTGTATAAGTATTATCTTATTAATAATGCCGAAATAATGGTAATTTTCGCGCCTATATAGAATGGCACAATCTTGAAATTGTTTCGATTTTCAATAATGCAAAGTTGTAAACGTGCCACCTTTTATTCAACATTTACTGTATAACAATAATTCTTTACCAAATTTCAACAACAGCTCTTGTTTGTCGTTATCACGGATGATTGATGTTGGTTTTTGCACTTGATAATTATTCGATACTATTGATGGATTTGATTTGCAATCTTGAAGATCAGATATAAATTGATATGATGGTGATGAAATACAGTACATATCAAGGAAAAATGATGAATTCTTAATTAATTGTAAATTATTTTCAATCTCACATAGTAGATTTTTTGTTTCATTAACTGCCGATGCAATACAGCCTAATATAAAGGAAATATAAGCCTTTTTAGGACGAAAAAACTAAAATTACCGATCACAGATTCAAAGTTGAAGATGCTACAATTGGTTAATGGATCATAGTCGGTGACTGTTTGATGAAAATGAATCACTGAATGAACTGTGTTAGCAGCATGACGTTTACCATACAGAAAATGAAATGTGTAAACAAATTTGTCCAGTAATATTTTCATTTCATGGGGTTTCGGTAAGTTATCTCTTGATTCACCTACATGTAATGCAAATGATAACAATTGTAAATGTTTATAATATATAGATTATAAAATTTTTTTAAAGATCGGATATGTTATTAATAGAAGAACTCGTGATTCATTCGCTTTTAATCGATACTATTTCATGATGCTTCGCGGTGCTCTTGTCATTGTTGATGGAAATCAAAAGCGCTGCAAATGCATTTCAATATCATTTATATGTTTACGAATGGACCACTGTTGCGTCCGATATTTTTAGTGAAACCATAACTTCATGAGTCATTTCTAAAAAACTTAGTTAAATAAAACTCAAGGATGAATTCCTAAAAAGATATTTTTAAGCGAGATAAAGATAGTTTGATTATTCTATTCAAACTATAATGCAGATATAGATTGAGAAAGAGTACTTACAAAAGCTCCATGATATATTGTATGGAGCGTGTCCATTAAGAACGAATAACCATGATCAAAGTACGTCAAATCTGTCAAACTACATTTCCTAGAATAGCCTAATCGTAAATTTGATTCTTTTTCACCATTTAAACATTGTTTATTATGTTTTAGTTTTAATAGTTTATTCAGGATTAAATGACTTTGTGCTGTTGAACGTAACTGAGTTTGATTGTTTTCATTCGTCGGAAAAACAAGCATTTTATGTGTATCTTTTCTTGATTTTTTGTCGGTCGACAATGATTTATTCCGTACTACGTGGTCATGTGAATTTGACAACACTGTTTCGCCTAAAATGAATTCGAAGGTAATTGAACATAAGCATCTTTGGTACTACTCCAGTTTAGGCACAGTGTGTATATATGAACAGAATAGAAAAAAAATGTGATTGGTGAAAAATTGACCATCTCATATAAAAAAATCATACAGCGACTAAATTAATATATCACTTCTTAAAGATGACAGCAGTGTAACAGTTTTTATTTACCGTCATTTGATTTACTATATTCAGCAAAATACCAGGCATGATTATTTTGTTGACCACATTGCTCAATTGTTGTTGGGAGTGTTGGTAATAGTTTCAATTTNATTTTTAGGGTTGATTAATAAGATAACATACTAAACTAAATCACTTAATTCAATTAATGTATCTTCTCGTCTATATGCGACGACATGATCGCGACGAATTGTTCGCGACGAATTGTCGTGCGACGAATTGATCGTGCGACGAATTGTTCGCGACGAATTGTACGCGACGAATTGTCGTGCGACGAATTGTACTAGTGCCCTTTCACTGAACTTGTGACCATTTTTACCATTTCGTCATTCGTACTATTTCTATGGTCATTGACCATACAAATGGTTCGAGCAATCAAAACATGGTCTAAGCAATCACAACAATGATTCAAGGCACCCAGACGATGGTCCCAATGACCATACCCTCGGCCACTTGTACCACCTTTGTGGTCACTTTCACCATGTCTGTGGTCATGTGTACCAACCCTACGGTCACTTTTACCATTGGTATGATCACTAATACCGTGGCTATGGTCGTTTGTATCATCGACATGGTCACCTGTGTCATCGATATGCTCATTCGTACCATGGTTAGGGTCACTTTTACCGTTGCTGTGGTCATTTGTACTATCTTTGTGGTCACCTATACCATAGTTGTGGTCACTATTATGATGGCTATGGTTATTTGTACCCTCGACATGGTCACTTGTACCATCGATACAATCATTCGTATCATGGTTATGGTCATTTGTGCCATCTTTGTAGTATCTTGTACTATGGCTATGGTCATTTGTACCATTGCTAATGTCATTTGTACCATCTTTATGATCACCAGAACCATGGCTTTGATCACTTGTACCAACTTTGTGGCTGCCTGTACCATGATTGTGGTCACTTGTATCATCGTTATGGTCACTTGCACCATGGCTATAGTAGTTTGTACCGTCGGCATGGTCATCTGTACCACTGGCTTGGTCACTTGTAACATCGATATGGTCATTCGTGCCACGGTTGTGGTCCGTTTTATCATTGCTATAGTCATTTCTACCATATTTGTGATCACCTGGCCTATGGCTACGGTCACTTGCACCAACTTTATGGTCGCTTGTACCATGGTTGTAGTCAGTGGTATCATCGTTGTGATCATTTCTACCATCGCTATGGTGATTTGTACCATTGCCTTGGTCATTTGTACGATGACTATGGCCATTTGTACCATTGTTATGATCACTCGTATCAGCATTGTGGTCACTTGTATCACATGTTGCAGACAAACAGACACAGGTGAATTTCCGTTTCTAGACCCAATCCCTTCAGTCTAGGAATAGAAATGGTCATTTGAGCCATACTCATGCACGGTCACTTATGCTATATAAATGATCATGTGTACCATATAAATGGTTATTTGAGGCATAGTTACAGTCATTTGTATCATATAAATGGTCATTTGTACCATACAAAGTGGTCATTTGTACCATACAAAGTGGTCATTTGTACCATACTCATGCACGGTCACTTATGCTATATAAATGATCATGTGTACCATATAAATGGTTATTTGAGGCATAGTTACAGTCATTTGTATCATATAAATGGTCATTTGTGCCATAGTTACGGCCACTTGTGCCATATAAATGGTCATTTGAGCCATAGTTGCGGTGATTTACACCATAGAAATGGTCCTTTGTGCCATAGAAATTGTCATTTGTGCCACAGATATGGTCATTTGTGCCAAGGCCATGCTTCAGACAGACAGATGCAGGTGAATTACGGTTTGTAGACTCTATCCTTTCAGTCTATGGAACTTGTACCATCGGTGTGGTCATTTGCACCATTGGTATTGTCACTTGTACCATTGGTATGGTCATTTGCACCATCATTATGGCCACTTGTACCATCTTTATGGTCACTTCTACTATCGCTATGGTCACTTGTACCATCATTATGGTCATTTGTACCATCAGTGTGGTCACTTGTACCATCCGTATGGTCATCTGTACCACCACTATGGTCACTTGTATCACATGTTGCACATAGACTGACAGACAGATACAGGTGAATTTCCGTTTATAGACCCTATCCTTTCAGTCTGGGGAACAACTATAGGACTTTGTACCATGAAAAAAGTCGTTTGCACCTTGACTATAGTACTTTATACAATGAAAATGGTCATTTGTACCACGACTCTGGTACTTTGTACCATACAAAGTGGTCATTTGTACCATACAAAGTCGCCATTTGTACCATACAAAGTGGTCATTTGTACCATACAAAGTGGTCATTTGTACCATACAAAGTGGTCATTTGTACCAGGTGTTAGAGACAGACAGACAGACAGACAGACACACACAGGTGAATTTCGGTTTCTAGACCCTATCCTTTCAGTCTAGGAGACATAAATAGAATATTGAAACTTATTTTTAATATTGTTTCATACATCATTTATCACAATTAAATAAATTACAACTCAAGTTTTACAATAAAATATTTAAAGAAAAAAAAACTAATATTAATCAAGTACACAAATAAAATTTTACAGTAAAATACACATTCAAAAAAACTAATATTGTATAGGTATACAAATCAATTATAAGAAGCAAAAATAAATAAATAATCTATTTTAAATGGAGTTCAACTAATTTATAATTGTTTCTAGTACTTCCTCTTTTCAGTCTCGCAGGAAAGCATTGTATTTCATTATTTTCAATACAATTAACATAATGATTACGTAAAGATTTCTGATCGTAAAATAGCGATGATGAAATATCTTTATAACAAAGAGACGTTACAAAAGCTAATGCGAATAATCCACAATCATTACCACCAACTTGTTGCTGTACATTTTCAAATGATAAAACAACTTTTTCTTCACCAGGTAATATATCTTGAAAAAATTTAACTAATGATTCTTTTGGATAAGATAGAGAATCATAAATTTTCCAAATATTATCAGAGTCTAAATTTGCAACTGTGAACCAATGATTGTTGTTTGCATTGAAAATAAAGATCGAATTTTTCAATGAACCTGTGTATAAGTGTATTTGCACAGGACCACATAAACCATTAATATTTGGAAATTATTTATGTAATAATTCAAAGAATAAAGATATATGTAAGTCGGTTAGCCAAATCGTATTATCGTACACATCACGAACTGATTCCACTTTTTTATTACGTTTATGTTTATATGTTTTAAGATCGGATGAAACTTTATTATAAGTTTTTTTATGTTTTTCTCTTGAACGATTTTGTTGTCTTTTTGCTTATAAGAAACCAACGATGTCTTACCACGTGGTCGACCTGGAGGATTAATAACTGGTGAATAACTTTAAACAAAGTTTCGTTTTAATGATGATTGATCTTGTTCATCTTTTATTGCTTCTTCTTGTTTTAGTTCTGAATTTGGTAAAGCTTCTTCAGGTTCATTACATAAGTTTATTTTATGTTCTTGTTTCAGTGCGTCTAGGTTGATACTCAATTCTTGTTGTTTTTCAACTTTTTCTTCATCGTTAAATATTGCTTCTTTTTCTGGTGATTCTTGTTTTATATTATCATGTGAATCTATACCAATTTCTCGTTCTGTTTCATAATCCGATTGCTATCTGTCTTTTTTTTCACATTGATTGCATAACTGTATAATTCTTTATGTTTATTTATATTGATTAAATCTAGAACAACATTCAGAAAATTAACATGGTCACCAAATTCGTCGGTTCCGTATTGAGTTATACGAGCTGTCAAGAGATCCAAAGTTGGTTTTAAGATGTTATACTTGTCATTACTACTTAAAACATTCGTTCTTTTAGATGCTATTTGTGTTATTTTGCATTGTGAATCGAAGCTTCATTTACCACCCACGAAAAAAATTTTTATAAAAGTTTGCGTTTGAACGGCAACTTTTAGGAAAAAAACGCTATTTTTGCGTTTGAACGCCAACTTGTAGAAAAAAAACGCTATTTTCCCGTTTAAACATATCCTGTTCTATTTTCAACGCGTTGAAACGCATCATATTCTATTTTCAACGCGTTGAATCGCATCCTCGCCAATTTACAACGCGTTGAAACGCATCGTTTTTATTTGCAATGCGTTTTTTCAACTTAAAACGTCAACTGAAAACAACGTTTGAATGCGTGATAAGAAAACGCATTTTTCTCCCCAACGAACGTTGTCAAAAACACCATTCGAACGCGTTTAAGATTATTCGTTCGAACGAGTTTTTTTTTTACATATATTGAAAAACGTTTTGTAAGTAAAAAACGAAATATTTTTAAACAAACGCGCTATAACGCGTTTCTTTTGCTGCTTGTGTTTTGAAAAATTCGTCATTTTTATACACATGTTGAAACGGTATCATTTTAATGCGTTTTTCCTAGAGAAAACGGATATTCTAGAGATGGTTGAAACGAAAGATTGAATTTATGTGGTTTGCGTAAGAACTTGGTTTCATAGAATAAGAATCTACTTCAACTAGAACAGATATCAAATGACATCAAATGTAAACGTGTGTGAGTCAGATATTACTGTTCATTGCGTCAACTCGTTTACATATAATAAAAGAGAATATCTTCGAAGTGCGTTCAATGAGCAGATACATATTTTTTAAAAAAATAATAACTGTAGGTTAACAAAAGCATATTCTTTAACTAGAATCAGTCAATGTTGGATAACGAATAAAAATAAATTGTTTTTTAAATTGATAGTAAGATACTTTTTCAATAACATCGTTTGCATTAATATGGATGTGATGATCAAAATTGATTGTTCCATATTCAACATTATCGCACAATATTTTTTGTGTGTTGAAACTTAACAATACTTGATCTTTTTTATTGTTACACAAAGGAAGAACTTGAAATAATAAATTATTTGATGTTTGTATAAGTATAATCTTATTAATAATGCCGAAATAATGTTCATTTTCGTGCCTGTATAGAATGGCACAATCTTGAAATTGTTTCGATTTTGAATAATGTAAAGTTGTAAACGTAACACCTTTTATAAAACATTTATTGTATAACAATAATTCTTTACCAAATTTCAACAACAGCTCCTGTTTGTCGTTATCATGGATGGTTGATGTTGGTTTTTGTACTTGATAATTATTCGATACTATTGGTGAATTTGATTTGCAATCTTGAAGATCAGATATAAATAGATATAATGGTGATGAAATACAGTACATATCAAGTAAAATTGACGAATTTTTAATTAATTGTAAATTATTTTCAATTTCACGTGGTAGATTTTTTGTTCCATTAACTGTTGATGCAATACGGCCTAATATAAAGAAAGTATAAGCTTTTTTATGACGTAAAAACTAAAATTACCGATCACAGATTCAAAGTTGAAGGTGCTATAATTGGTTAATGGACCATAGTCCGTGACTGTTTGATGAAAGTGAATCACTGAATGAACTGTGTTAACAGTATGACGTTTACCATACAGAAAATGAAATGTGTAAACAAATTTGTCCAGTAGTATTTTCATTTCATTGAGTTTCGGTAAAGTTATCTCTCTTGATTCACCTACCTGTAATGCAAATGATAACAATTGTAAATGTTTATAATATATAGGTTTTAGATATTTTTTAAAGATCGGATATGTTATCAATAGAAGAACTCGTGATTCGTTCGCTTTTAATCGATAGTATTTCATAATGCTTCGCGGTGCTCTTGTCGTTGTTGATGGAAATCGAAAGCGCTGCAAATCCGTTTCAATATCATTCATATGTTTACGAATTGACCAATGTTGCGTTCGATATTTTTGGTGAAACCATAACTTCATGAGTCGTTTCTAAAACAATTAGTTTAATAAAACTCAAGGATGAATTTCTAAAAAGATATTCTTAAGCGAGATAAAGATAGCTTGATGATTCTATTCAACCTATAATGCAGATATGGATTGAGAAAGAGTACTCACAAAAGCTCCATGATATATGGTATGGAGCGTGTCCATTAAGAATGAATAACCATGATCAAAGTACGTCAAATCTGTCAAACTGCATTTCCCAGAATAGCCCAATCGTAAATTTGATTCTTTTTCATCATTCAAACATTGTTTATTATGTGTTAGTTTTGAAAATTTATTGAGGATTAATTGACATCGTGCTGTTGAACGTAACTGAGTTTGATTGTCTTCATTCGTCGGAAAAACACGAATTTTATGTGTATCTTTTCTTGATTTTTTTTCGGTTGACGATGATTTATTCTGTGCTATCTGGTCATTTGAATTTGACAACACCGTTTCGCCTAAAATGAATTAAAAGGTAATTGAACATAAGCATCTTTCAACATATATTAATAACATATATACCCCGTAATTCACACCGAGAGCAGCCATATTTAGCAATAGGTTCCGGTGCATTTTGAACTAAACTATTGGCAGGTTTATCGTTGCACGCTCCAATTAAATACATACGGATCAATTTATATTCATTCTTGGTTCCTTTGATTTGAAATAAATGTTGTTGTTCAAGTAATAATAATTGATTAACAATTGGTTCCAGTAAAATCTGCATGATTGCGCGACTGGGTTTTTTATAGCAAGAACAAATACCACCAACAACAACGTTCTGAATTTTAAATCTTTGTTTTCTTGTTATTTCGTTTATTACGCAGGTAATTATCCATAGTGATTGTTCAGTATTATTCCCGACGGCAACACCGTCAACGTTCATCATTAAAGTCATTATATAATTAGTTTTATTTGTTTCGATTTGACTAAACAATGAACGATAAATTTTACCATCGTATATATCATGCATAGAAGTATTGATAAAAGGTTTGTTTTCTGGTGTAAAACAATTGATATGCTGTTCCCGACGAAATATTTGTTGTAATTGATCACGAATATCAAAATAAATATAATTATAAGGATTAGTTGTATATTTCTCGTGATTCTCACAATCAATATGTGAACAGCTTGTTTTTGAAAATGAAACACGTTCACATTTTTGACAGATGATCATTGATGACGTTCCTGTCGAAGATAATGTACATGGTGTTGATCTACTTTTTGTATTAATTAATTTACGAATATGATAGATGGATGACGGTACATTTTGTACTTTTAATACAATTAGCAATTTTCGAATATCATTTAAACATTCAAATGTTAAATTATGCTTTGTTTTTAAAGTTAATAAACAAACAGATATATCTGTCTCATCATAATCTCGCTGGAATTGGTCATTGAACATTTCATTTCTAGAATAAAAATAAATATCCAGCGCAAGAAACGTTTTCTTGTATAATAGCTTAAATGTAGCTCATACTTTTGTTCATTATCATTTCCATCTTCTTCAATCACCACATCGGTTTCATTTTCATCGAAACTTTCTTCATCACCTGTTGAACCTAAAGTGTCTGTCACTATATCAGTTTCTTCATCTGAATCTAATGTATTTTTTTCTAAATCATAACATGTTTCGTTGATTAAAGTATCATAAAATGTATTATCATGATTGAATAAAAGAGAACATTGATCTGTATCATTAGTCTTGTACAAATCCTCTTCGTTCATATGATCACGATCTTCAAATTCCGATTGATTTAAATTATCAACATCATCTACAGAATTATGCTGACTTCTAAACAGCAATAAATACCAACATAACATCCTTACATAATACATCAATAAGTATAAAGATAAAAAAATCTACTGTTGACTCATTAACTTCCGATATTGTTCTCTTCGTTTTTGATTAATTTGTTGTCTGTTTTTATAATACCATTTTAATTTGGCTGCCCTCAGGGTAGACATCTAAATAAGAAAAATCTTATTTTATTACGACAAATAACTGTTAATGGCTAATGGAAAATCAATCGTTAACATGCAGATCTAGAAATCAACAGTTAATTTTTTTTAAACAACTCCTCTTGTACGGCAATTTTATTTTTATCTTTTGTCAGTTGTTTTGTGATCTACTACACTAATTATCCAATTACTGATTGCTATAGAAAAGAAATATTTTTCTGAACTAAGATTTTATATTTAACGTAACATGGTAGACATATCTGTTCATTGTAAATCAGTTGTTTTCATTTATTTTCTTGATTATAAATAATAGCTCACTTTTAAATATGTATAGGAGTGATTATAAAAATATAAGTTCGTAGAAAAATATAAACAATACAAAAAGAAAACATTAATAAGTTTAGATAAAGATGCTTTAATTACAAAAACAACAAGTATGATAAGTTCATCATTTTTTACAGTTACTCAGTATGTTCAGGAACAGATTCAGCTACAATCAAACCATTATGATCAAGAGTTTGTTCATTTGGGCAACCGTTTTTCTGATCACGTTTTAAATTTGCACGTTCACCACGAATTAAATTTTGTAAACTAGTTTTGATAGTTTTTCTATCCCATTTAAGATGTCCAAATAATTTCTCACCGAAAGCTAAATTACGAACAAAGCCTTTAGTTTTATTATCAAGCATTGTTTTTTATAACATACCATGTAGAGCTTCTATTTTGTTGTCCGGAATTTTCGACCATGGAAGACCTTTGGTTAGTTCATCAAGACATATTTGCTGGAATAGTTTTCGAGCCGTTACTGTTGGTGGTTTAGATAGGTTTACATAATATTTTAATAAATTTGATGGAATGCCTAGCTTCTTCGCTTCGTCATCATAATTAACATCATAATTTACTGGTCGCTGAATGGCATCATACATCGTACTTATCCATTCGCAAACGCTATCATTGGTTGGAATCACTACAAAAATTAACATCAGAAAAACATTAATGGAAAACTAATAATGATTGAAAAGTGTTATAACTCACGCATCGATACATCACTCAATTCCGAATATCGTTTTTCCAATGCTAAATATTTATCTCTCCATTTATCACGATCTTCAGTAACTTCATTTAATTGAACAGTTAAATCTGATAATGTATCCATTCGATTTTGTTTTTTACTCGACGTCGTTGTGACAGAATTTGTGTTTATTGCTGATGGTGTAGGTTCAGATGCTGCAGCAGTAATGTCAATTGATGATGTTAATGAAGAAGCAGTTACCGTTACATCCTGACTATGGTTTATCGGCATTAAATGAGTTAGAGAAGGTTTGATCTTTGATGATAATGTATGAAGTGATGAATGAGTATTGGGTTTATCATAATTAATATCAAAAGAAATACAAGAATCTGTTTCTTCAGGAAGATTTGATTTTTTATTTTGATCCATTTATTTTTGTGCTGGTTCTGGTACTCTCGTTGTAGTTAATAATGGAGTATCATCAAGACTATCATCATAATCAGAATTCATTTTGCTATCACGTTGACATTTAATAATATTTAATTCGTTCAAACATTCTTGTTGTGAACCTAGAAAATATAGAACAGTACAAGTCCACTTTTCTACGTATTGATCTCTCCGCTTACCAACACAAAACAAAATTGCAGAAGTTGATTTTTCATCATTCATTTTGACTAAAACATCTGAACCTAATTTTATTTTCCCTTGTTTGTTTAGATTAATTAAATCATTGTGATTGACAACCAATAGTTTCTTATTCAATAAGAATTCAACTAATGCAAATTTTTCATCATTTTCTTTAGTTTGATCATTTTCACATAACAACGCATTTTGTTGTCGAGTCATTGGTCTAGTTTTTGTTGTATTTTGACCTCGTAGTTGAGAATTACCACCACCACGTCGTACTGTCTTTTTTCCATGATACATTGTCCCTTGACGCTCAACCTAGAAATGAAAAGCAGGAAAGTTTTATTATGATTAGAGCAACAGATGAAGAGTAGACAGAATATTCCTATAGATACGGAGCTTCCAGGGTGACGTACGAAAGACCATATACAATATTCCGGTCATGACCCTGATAGACGTTTTTACAAAGCGAATATATATATATTATTGAACCTTTCTACATCTTAAACAAGATGGCTTCTACTTCAGTATAATAGATTAACTCTACATTCTTTTCGTATAACAGTGGTTAAATCGAAAAAGAATAAAGTGATAGTGCCTATATGTCTATCGCCTTTTCAGTCTACTTTAATACAATACAGTTGTTTCTTTTTCTTTTCAATACTGTCTTCTTGTATAGTCCGTCCATGAATGTTGGATGTATTGTTCTTTGTGAAACGAATAACAATGACCCGTTTAGTATATGTACAGTAGATTTAGTTAACGTATCGTATTTTAATATACCAAGTAATTCTACTGTATGATTTCTTTTATAATTTTTTTTTCTATTTATAAATATCTTAGAAGGAGTTTTTTTTAAATAGTTTCACTTATTCATTAAAAAAAACACATAATTTTTGTATAGATGGTGCCACCATTCTGCTTGATTAAATGTATTTCTCTGAGCTGATTCAGTATCACTAAAATAATTTTGAGTTTATACATAGAAAAAAAAAGAGATTTTCTTGTAAAAAAAATTATGCCATGGAAGTGTTATGTTAGTTTTAATTGTTAATTATTAAATTACCAAGTTATTTATTCTTTGAGATCGAATTGAATTTGCGCAGAATAATTTTTTCCGTAATCCTTTTNGATATATCGCTTAAGATGTTACAAACATATTTTGTTTTTCCAAAAAATGAATCGTAAAAATTTCCATTCAAGATTAGTAAAACGATGATAGGATTGTAATAGATTTATGTATTTCGAATAACTTTTTTTCAGATGATAGCTCTAATCTTCCTCTACAAAATGACATAATCTGATCAATAACTTCATATAAATTTGTCACACATATCGTCGATTTACTCAGAGGGGTCGAAACTTTTGGACCACCCTTTACTTCCATGTTTCAGCGATTTCCAGTGTTTTCCTGCCGAAATCGGCCCGTATTTCTTAAGCCGAGTAAAATTAATGAGAAAAGAATCTTTCATAGATCTTTCAAAGATGTTCGAAATAGATCCTTATGTTTTTCCGATGGAAAACTGTTTGTTTCTTGCCGGTTTCCGACCGAAATACTACTTTCATGATCCTGGTATTTTCCCGGCTGTTTTCGGCGGGAAAGACGCCGGAAACGACCATAAGAGTCCGCAAATTAGATAATGTCCTGCCGGTTCCTGAAGGATCCGGGGGCCGGAATCATCGATCTGGGTACCGTTTCCAAAAGGATTTATGAAAGAGTTCACGAAAATTACATAAACAGAAAAAGGGATTTTTATTCATTGTACTATGATAAACACTTTAAAGGTTTATTACTCTAGAGATTTCTTAATAGTGTGGTAGTGACAAGGAAAGGTTTCTCTGATACTATGCATCGTCAACAAACGCAATACAGTGTGAGTCAAGTAGAAATAATATGGAATGTTGTTTGATAGATTGAATCGAGACTCATTTGATTAATTAGAGCAAGAAATATTGTCAGACAACGAGTTATACTAGCAGCGGATGAGAGTCAAACATTCACATCCGAAGTCTAATTTATATCACACATCCTCACCCTCATTCCACAACCAATCACCAAAACAATTTCTTGAAAAAACTAAGAGTAACTTTCGAATTTTTTTGGTCGAATACTTGGGCTTAAGCGCGAGCACCAGGTACATTATCAAAAGGTATCGAAGAGATATCACAAAACATATTGCTACTTGTCTTTTGGACTCTTCATAACTGTGTGTCGAGCAGTCTCTTCCATAGTAGTGTCTAAAATGTACCAGCATTGCCATCCATAATTCATGTTGATGATAGAACGTTTGTTGCTTGTTGGTTATTGAAAGCAAGAATTGCCAAGAGTCAATAAAGTGTTTTGTTCTCCATTTATTTATTGAATTCTTTTATGCAAATGAAAGCAGCTATTCAAGTGCCTAACTTTAACAAACACTGAAGCGTTTTACGAAGCAGCAATTACAAAAAGGAAGTGTGCACATCGATCGACTTTTAATTGCTCTTTATTTAATGATTGATGCACTGCGAAAAACATTTTTTTCATTCAGCTAGTCATTGAGAAGACGGTAAACAGCATTTCTATATGAGACTGACGTCACATGCCTCATGACTTTCAAACATCGTTGTTTTTATTCATGAATGTGTGTAAATCAGCACAATTTTAGCTTGCTTTATTGTATCCATGGATTCATATAGCCAAAGAAGGTGTAGATGCTGCATCACCTATAAAAGCCAACAGCATTGCAGTGAGGTGACATTTCTCAAATCAATATGATGAAGCGATTTCTGAACGCGGTAGCAGTAGCAATGTGAGCATCAGTGCCATAAAAATCTAATGATGTGATACGTATTTGTTTTTAGATTTATTGTCTGCGTCGTCCAAGGTAAGAGAAGCTTTAATTAGATCATATAAATGAGAATCCAACGTGAACATATAAAATTCATTCTGCCTAGATTTTTTCTTCTTTTCTTTGTGAAAGAATATAGTAAATGAGCATCTCCGTCTACAACAATGATCTTCAGTGTTTTCATCCAATTTTTTTTTCTGATAAAGAGTCGGTATGGCTGCATGATTAAGTTGCTTGATACATACCCACAAGGTACTTTGTTCGAACAACACCTCCATCAATCATAAAATGCCCTTGGACAAGTCACTAACGGCTGCTTTGCCCCGAATCACCCATTAGATAACAAACTGACTGCGTGGTTGACATACGTTAAAAACCCCTCGTGACTAATATGTGGTTAGTCAATATATATATGGGGAGCTGAAGTGATTAAGCCAGAGAACTCTGAGTCAGGCCAGCCTTGTGTCCAGAGCTACATTTAGTAATAGATGTAGGAGAAATATCGAGCTCTCGAAACTGTTCTCGGACAGCACCATATACCGCCAGGTAGCCGAAAGACAGGGTATTCTTCTTCTTCTTTTTCTAATAAAACTTCTTCTAGGTCAAGACACAATAAATAAAGAGCCTTCTACTTGCGGATGCTGTCCATCACCAGAGTGTCAAGCAAAATCAGTGCCATGTTCCATAAATGTTGATTGTGAATGTCTGTTTATGACGATGACCGGTGGCGGCATGTGCGCCGATACTGTCATATCGTGTCACGCTCTGGCCCCATGCGAAAGTGATAATAAGACGTGTTCGACGCTTAACACTGTATGTGTCAACAACACTCGATGCAAAGTTCCTATTTGTTATCCGATTGAACGTGCTTCTGTTCAACGATGTCCTCCGATAACTTCAAGAACTTCAAACGCCTTTCAGAGTAAGTTTTTGAACTACAGTGCTGGCCGAAAGTATAGAACTATCCTATTGCTTTTCAATCGTTACCATGTTTCGCCTACAGTATATTTTGTATTGTACCTACAGGATGTGGGTGCAAGTGTGAAAATCCTACAGACGCCTAAATCCACAGTTACATCTATACATACATTTATACCTGTCAGAGGTTTCACACTAAATAAATAATGAATCCACGACGTTGTCTTTTTTTTTACGTAAAACTTTCACAACAGCAACATCAACAACATCAAGAGTCACTACGCCATCGACGATCTCAACAACGCCAAGAAAAACTACGACTTCAACAACGTCAAGAACAACTACGATATCGACGACGTCAAGAACAACTACGACATCGGCAAGAGTAACAGCGACAACTTCTACAACCTCTGTGTCTAACAGTAAGCAAAAAAGTCTTTTAGCGGTGCTACGCCTCACTCACGCCTACATCCTTTCCAAACATCAGACCTAATGGAATCATACTAGCGAAAAGCGATATTTTGGTTAGAAATCTCGTGAAAACTAACCTCTAAAAAAAATCTAAGCATTTTGTTTCGTTTGTTCATGAAATGTATGTTTTTTCCCGTCATACCTCTTATCTGGATGCTTCATCATCGGTTATGGATACAAAATCCAGAAGGCTTTCCAGTAACGGCCAAAAGTTGAAAACAGTTTCTCATTTTTCCTCTGTACTTGCACCTAGATCTAAGGGGATTAGATGGTACATCAATGGTATATTTACTTTTAGAATCCATTGGTGTCTGTTATAACAATGACACGCTCCACATGAATCCAATTTTTTTGATCACATTTGGTTCTGGTTCAGAACAATACGCTAGAGCATCACCTTCGGATTTTAATTTCACTACAAGTTATGGGCAACAAAATGAGCCCAGCACCGGCGACGGTCAGTTCAGTTTTATCAACGAGATTCATAATGACTATGGGACATGGTATACGGGATCATTGGATCATACCCCGGATGATGTTGGTGGATACATGATGTTGGTCAATGCAGCCTATCAACCCGGCGAGTTTTACCGCGGTACAGTCAACAGTTTATGCATTGGCTTACGTTATGAATTTTCCTTCTACTTGGCTAATATTCATATACCAAACAGTGAGATTCAACCGAATATTCTAATCGAAGCCCGAAGTCTGACTCTAGATAACCGTTTACTTGTTCAAGTATCCACGGGCGACATACCTTCAAATGACAGATTGATATGGTTGAAATATGGTCTGTCATTCATAGCACCGAGTCATTCAGTTGTTCTATTAATGATATCAAATGCTTCTGGCGGTTACGGAAATGATTTTGTGATTGATGATATAGCTTTACGCGTTTGTTCAAATCCAGGTTCTGGCGTCTGTCCTCCAACTTCATAGACCATGCAATCAATAGAACTTATTAATTTAGCTCACTCTGTCTCATAATGATTTCACTTTAACGCACAACGTCAAGAGAGAGATCATTATTTAGTTGTTGACTGTTTGTGTTCTAGATCTATTCAGCATAGATTGATTCCATAATGAGCTTCCGAATAATTAGAGCTATTTTTAAGCTCGCTTTCCTCTTTGTGCTTCCCACGAAAAAAAAATTATAAAATTTTGCGTTTGAACGTCAACTTTTAGAAAAAAAAGACGCTATTTTTGCGTTTAAGCGTGTCCTGTTCTATTTTCAACGCGTTTAATATTATGCATTTGAACGAGTTTTTTTTACATGTATTTAAATACATTTTATAAGTAAAAAACGAAATCTTCTTAAACAAACGCACTAGAACGCGTTCCTTTTGCTGCGTGTGTCTTGAAAAATTCGTTTTTTTATTAACGCGTTGAAACGTTGTGTTTTGAATGCATTTTTTCCTAGAGAAAAGGAATATTCTAGATGTATTGAAACGAAAGATTGAATTTATGTGATTTGATTAAGAGGTTATGGGTGTAGTTAAAGGCAAGAGTAAAACCCACACCCACAATAACCCTTTTAGTAATCTGTACAGCAGATTTAGTTAACGCATCGTGTTTTAATATACCTAATAATTCTATTGGATGATTTTTTTTATAATTTTTTTCTATTGATAAATATTCTAGAAGGAATTTTTTAAATAGTTTCACTTATTCATTAAAAGGAAACATACTTTTTGTATAGATGGCACCACCATTCTGCTTGATTATGTGTTTCTCATAATTGATTTAGTATCACTAAAATAATTTTGAATTTATACAAAGAAAAAAAAAGAGATTTTCTTGTAAAAAAATTATGCCATGGAAGTGTTCTGTTAGTTTTAACTGTTAATTATTAAATTACCAAGTTACTTATTCTTGGAGATCGAATTGAACTTGCACAGAATAATATTTTCCGTAATTCTTTTTATCTTATCAAACCTCTTGATGTCATAATTCTGATATACTCTTCTTCTCTTATACTCTGACTAATACTCCCTCGTTGTTTCGTTTGTTTTATCTTGACTACTATTCCTTTGCCCTTTCACGTTTATCCGTTCTACTATCAAATCACCTTTCCTTTTGTTTTACTCTGATTACTATTTCTTTACCATTTCGTCTATTTTATTCTCGCTATTATCCAATCATTCTTCCCTCTGTTTTACCGCAATCGTTGTCCCTTCACCTCTTTGTCTGTTTTGTCCATACTATTATCCACGCCTCCTTTCGTTCGTTTTACTTTGAGTATACTCTTCTCCTTTTTTGTTGTCGTGTTACAGATATAGGGGTAGCCTGCTTTTACCTAGTCCTTGAAAAGTTACCAAAAATTATACTTTTGCTTCCTTCCTTCCAGTGTTAGTTGTTTTACATATTTTACTCTAAATATGTATCTAATTCATTCACATCACTCTACTTGGCATTTCTTCATAACTTCATTCTCCAGATATACGAAATTTTTCCTAGACAAGTGTCGCCGCTATGGTGCCAGCAGACGAAATACTTAACATACTCCAATATCTCTTCCTATTTAGTTTTATAATGAAATCTTCTGTTAGGTTGTTGTAGGTATTGATAATACAGGATTCATTTCTTATTTTTGGCTAGCATTTTTTTCGACAGAAGAAAGTATTAGAGTATGTTAAGTATTAATTCGACTTCTTGCACCGTAACGACGATACTTTAGAAGAATTTCATAAATCTGGGGAACGAAGTTATTGAGAAATGTTAAGTAGAGTGATGCAAGTGAATGAAATGCATATTTAGGGTAAAATATGTAAAACAGCTGGTGCTGAGAGAAAAGAAAGAAAACTACACCGTTTAAGCGCGTTAACATAGAAAGGAGTAGTGTTTTATATGGATGAAACGCGTCGTAGTAGCCGCGTTTTGGTTGATATGTAGCCGTTTTACCGATAAAATGATGTGCTTGAACGCGTTTTAAAACCTGCGTTTAACTTCTAGCAAAAACATGTGAACATAAAAATAAACGCATTGGAGCGTAAACTTAAAAAAAAGCTTTTCGTGGGTTGTGGCTCTTTTTACTTTTCTTGTATGCAAATGTCTTTCATATACAAGAACTCCAGACCTTTTTTCGTCTCGATATAGAATTTTCTTTCCTGAAATTGATTGTCTCTATTGTTATCTAAGACATTAGCTTTCACAACATGTAGAGGAAAAAGTAAGTCTGAAGAGAAATTTTTATATTACTTGACACTCAGTGCCAAGTACATCCTTTTATTTGCTATTTACCTTGTCCTTCATTGCCTTTACTTGAGAACCTAACCATCTTATAAACTTTCATAACATTTTATCATTATTTTCATCCAAGTATCATATAACAACTATGATTTCTTTATCACCAAGATATGTTCTTGGAATTACAATCACCTGAATGAGATTGGCTGTGTCTGCGTCAGTGAAGCTACTTCTCATTTGTAGGGATGAATAAAATCAAGTTTAAGTATAATAAAATTTGAATCTAAGACATTTGCTCTTCGGATAGTTGCTCTGCAAAAATGCTCATCTTTTAACGGGTGTGTGAGCGTGGATGTGTGTGTGAGTGTGGTTGTGGTTGTGGTTGTAGTTGTGTCAGAAACGAAGAGAAAATTAACATCCACATCCACACCGATACTTTTCTTTGCATAAGATCTCATTTCGTTTTTACGAAGAAGCATGCGGATTGTTGATGCTGGCAGTTATAAAATGAAGTAGTCTTTGATATCGTTTTTTATATTCTTTAAAAGTAATAAAATGACAAGAGTAAATTGATTGGAATTGATTTTGAACTTGAGTTCTTTATAAAAAAAAGATACCTTTCTTGTCTAATAACTTACTGCCCATAGATCATCATAAATATGTTGCGCAAATTTCTAGAGATTTCTGAAGATCGGGTTTAGAAAGTTTTGATAACCCTTACAAATCGCTACTGATAAATCCCATATTCATCGTGCTTTAATGCGACAAAAAACTAGTTATTGATGCTATTTGAAATTATACTTTTCCAAACTTCTTACACGAGCAGTAACATCTTAATGAAAAGAGATCTGGTGACAAAATCTCGAAATTATATTAGAGTATGAATTAGTAATTATTATGTTGTTTATCATTTTTCACAACCATACCCCAGCCTTCTCTTTCGAGTAAGCGTCAAAAAATGATTTAGCAAGGTGGGATCAGTGCAGACCCGAGTGAACAGAATATTCACATCGACATCCACACGCTCAAGCCCTAGAAACAAAATGATTTATTTTTCAGATTTAAGATGAACGCATTGGAAAATATAACCGAGAAAAAGATCTTTCAATGTATGGGACCTATGCAGAGATTTGTGTCGTTTTCATTGTCTTTTTGATGTACTTCTAAACTCATGAATAATGCTCATTGGATACGTTCAGGTAGAGCTCACGGTTAATAGTTAATACTCATTGATGTTCGAAATCCTCATAGTTAATATCCTTAAACATCTTTTCTGTGAAAAAGGACTGATTGGAGGTTGTCTTATGACGACTTAGGGATAGAAGGTTTGAAGAGCATCAATACCATGTATCCTGATGTCATAAGTCGGCACTTTACTTACAATGTTGTGGGAACATGCTCAAAATTTCCAGAGAAAGTTTTTCATAAAAACGGATTATAAGGAATCTATATGGCCAGGTGACAAAGTTTCTATTGATATAGGTCTACCTTCGAAGGTTTATGTGTTTTTATCATGGTATACAAGCTCGTTGTAATTCATAGACACTTATAGAATGCCTGCAGCAGTCTGTGGATACTGGATATTTTTCGCAGGGTTTCTAAGCCTGCCGACTCCAAACTCAATCAGGATCGATGTGGACTGAACCATGCTGTTACAGCCATTTATATGGAGTGGAGTGAGTCCGTATACGGATAGTCCGTCCACGAGCTTGAGATATTACCTAATAGTACTACAAGGAATTTCAAGTATACGAAACGGGTTTCATGTTAGAGTTATCCCTAACCCTAATTCATGAAGTATATGTAAATTCTGGAATCTTACCCGAGATGTGGTTAGCATTATCTGGGGTAACAATAGCAGTGCATGGAATGCTATTCCCATTGCCTAGACTAAAAACCTAAAGAGGTATATATATCCGAAATGAAATCAATACAATGTTAAGTCGAACACATTATATTGATCTAACTTTTTAGGTGGGGTTAACGTGTGATTCTTAATAGTTAATGTCGATGGACAGCCAATAGTATCTGTATTATTTGATCGTAATGCTCATTCTGATGGGAAAACGGTGAACATAAAAGATTACTCTAAACGGCTGTAGTTTTCCGTTGTATTTGACTGCTATACGGTCGTTCACGTACGGGCATCATTGGCCTTGTAAATTTTCAAGAAATTGTATATATCTAAGTTAATAAGCAAAAATACAATGAATTTTCTATCATATGATGCGACATGGATTGCAAATATATCATCAACTGATGGAGGAGGCTCATTTTCTTTATGAATAATTTATTTATTATATATGTATTCGTAAAAGTAGGGTTCTTTGTCTGATTTCTAACCCTCTGACAACAAAATTGACTTTTATAATGCATACAAAAAGCTTCAGTCATTCGAAAATTTCGTCTGAGAATCGGAATGAGGCAATCTTCATTCACACCTGTCTTTTGTGTAAATTTTCTATTTTAGCAAGAAACTGCTTCGTCCGACTTCTGCCAGATAAGTGAATCATTGTGAGGTTAAATTCGACCGGTTTTTGAAAAATTTAGTAAAATTTTATCTCGCCTCTCCACACTGTTATAAAATCCTAACTGCAAAAACTTGATTCGCTGGATTGATGAAAAACTGAAACATGCAGTTCTGTCTGGGAAAAAATGAAGTTTCCGTACGATGATTATATAGCACGTTTGTACCCATACTTGCAAACCCATTGATATATGCACAAACTCATTCTATTTGGCACGACCTTCTCTCCACTCGAGGGAATACAAAAGTTTATTAAGTTTTTATCATATTATGATGCTCCTTCACACTGTCTTACACACTAAGTTAAAAGATATAAGTAATGATTGCTAGACTAATGTTAAAGTCATTTGTTCATTTTGAATAGTTTTTGGTGTCTATCAAACATTTGTATTTGCATTTGTATCTGAATTTGCATTTTGATTTGTTTCAGTTTTTTTCCGTTTCTGTGGTGCGCGTGATCCACCACAGCATAGAAACAATGCAGTAAGAATATTGAGTATACAAATAAATATTGCAAAACGATACAATGCCTTACGACAGTATGTTGCTTCTTCTTCTCTTCGATCATATTGAACTTTACCATAAATACTAAATGTTATAACGATGAGGTAAATCAAGAAAATAACTAATAAAATCTGGGCAGTTGCTGATAAAACACGTAGAATTAATGATAAGAGCCGAATTGTTTTTGAATTTGGGTTTTGTTCTTGTGATACACAACAGCCAATGCAGGTTGTAGCAATGGAAAGTATGATTGGAAATAAGCCAAGTATTCCAGCTAAATATAAAAAATGTGGAATAGCGGGTTTTGCCGGACATTCATCTTTATATTCTCTAGCAATAATAATTTCCAAGATAGGTATAATAAATGAAAATGCTGCGAAAAATATCATACATGCGCCACAACACACTACGGCACCTCCTGCACAGCATGCACAAGCTACTAATGCAGCCATTGCACCCTTATCATCAAGTGATGGTGCTGGTGCTGGTGCTGATGCTGATGAAGGCTTTGTTTCTGTTGCTGGTGGAGGCGCATTTGTTGCTGTTACAGATATAGGCGTTTGATAACTAGTTGACGTTGGATTATCCTCGGCAAAATGATATGTAGTACCTTGTATCGGTTCCATTTGAATCTGAGTCTCTCGTGGTCCTTGCTGCTGCTCCATTTTTCTTTGTTCTTCAAAACTGTTAAGTATTTGAGAAGCTTCCTTCATGTTTCTGCATGAATAAAATAACAAAAGAAATTTCTTATTTTAACAGGTGATTTTATATGTGCATATACAGTCGCGGAGAAAACTAGTGACCTCCTTACTTCCTACGAATATTTCAAGTGATCGGTCTGTAATTTCTGTTGATAATAGAACTCTATGACTTCTCGTTCAGATCAACAATCCAACGTCGATCTGATAAGATGCAAGTGAGTTATGATCTGCATACTGTTTCATCTTTGACATATGTATATCTCGATTGTTTTAATATATATGTTGCCGCGCAATATCTGATTTTAGAGCTCAATTATGACACTCTATTGAAAACATCATGAGAATTCATTGAAAATTCGCCTAGACATGATTTTCGCACTGATCACTTCCATGTTCGAGAACATCATCGTTTTCAATTATTTCTTCCCAACTCGAGATTCTGTTGAACAATTTTTCTGGAAATTTGTTCTTGGCATCTCTATGAAATCTAGAGTAAGTTATGAAACTTTCACAATCCTAACTCTCAATAAAGTGAAAATATACCTAGAAAGTCGACCTATCTGTCCACAGTACATCACTTGCTAGAATCTCATCGAAATGAGGCGCTTTTTCAGACAACGATGTCGACAGTTGGGACTAGAATAAGTAGCAAAAACACTCAGCACTAACTGAGAAAGAAGGCTGAAAAAATAAAATTTTATCTTTGAGTGGAAATTTGGATTATTTCGTTGAAACGTCACTGAATATGGCTTTATACGAAATCCTCTTGCCCTTTCAGCCAGTTGGTNAAAAAAATTATGCCATGGAAGTGTTATGTTAGTTTTAATTGTTAATTATTAAATTACCAAGTTATTTATTCTTTGAGATCGAATTGAATTTGCGCAGAATAATTTTTTCCGTAATCCTTTTTTATCTTACCAAACCTCTTGATGTCCTAATCCTGATATATTCTTCTTCTCTTATACTCTGACTAATATTCCCTCATCGTTTCGTTTGTTTTACCTTAACTATTATCTTTCGCTCTTTCGCGTTCATCCTTTCTACTATCAAATGACCTTTCCTTTTGTTTGACTCTGATTATTATTTCTTCACCCTTTTGTCTGTTTTATTCTCGCTATTTTCCAATCATTCTTCCCTCTGTTTTTCTCCAACTTTTATCACCTCGCCTCTTTATCTGTTTTGTCCATACTATTATCCACGCGGTCTTGCGTTCGTTTTACTTTGAGTTTACCCTTTCCCTTTTTTGTAGTAGTGATACAGATATAGGTGTAGCCTGCTTTTACCTAGTTCTTGAGAAGTTACCAAAAGTTATCCTTTTCCTTTCTTCTTCCCAGTGTCAGTTGTTTTGCATATTTTACCATAAATATGTATCTCATTCATTCGCATCACTCTACTTGGCATTTCTCCACAACTTCATTCTCCACATTTACGAAATTTTTCCTAAAGAAGCGTCGCCGTTATTGTACAAGAAGTCGAAATACTTAACATACTGTAATATCTCTTCCTATTTAGTTTTATAATGAAATCTTGCGTTAAGTTGTTGAAGGTGTTGATAATGCAGGATTCATTTCTTACTTGTGGTTAGCATTTTTTCGACAGAAGAAGGTATTAGAATATGTTAAATATTTCGACTTCTTGCACCATAACGGTGATACTTTAGAAAAATTTCATAAATCTGGAGAATGAAGTTATCGAGAAATGTTAAGTAGAGTGATGCGAATGAATGAAATACATATTTAGGATAAAATATGTAAAAAAACTGATGCTGCGAGGAAGGAAAAAAACTACACCGTTTAAACGCGTTAACATAAAAAGGAGTAGTGTTTTATATGGATAAGACGCGTCCATTACGATGCGTTTCGAAGCTGGTTGTTAATGTTTTATTCGAAAAAAGAAGCGTTGGAATGCGTTTTTAGCAACGCGTTTTAGTTGATATGTAGCCGTTTTTACCGATAAAATGAGGCGTTTGAACGCGTTTTAAAACCTGC